CCACGAGGAGATTTTGGAAGGACAGCATGTGCTGTGTCTCTCTGTGAAGGAGCGGTGGTTGATGCTGCCAGCTCGGGATATGATAGCTGTGTGAAATGGATTGATCAAAAATGTGATACCTTCTCTGTCAGTAACACGTGCCTTCATTTTCAGGAAAAGAGGGATCCCTCTCCCCGGCGACACTGTTGAGGAGCTCCTGAAGTCTGTCAGCTATGACACACCGCTGACACTTCCCCAATTTCTAGAGAAATTTAATTACTACATGCCCGCTATTGCGTAAGTACCCTGCTTTTTGCTTCTCCCCCCTCAACCCTTGGCAGCATCCCTTGGCTCAGCCTTGGAGGTTCCCTGTGTGCCCTGGGGGTGAACAGTCCCAGGTGACGGGTCGCACTGCTGTCCCTGCAGGGGTGACCGTGAGGCAGTGAGGAGAATCGCCTACGAGTTTGTGGAGACGAAGGTAAAGGAAGGAATCGCCTATGTGGAGGTCCGGTACAGCCCTCACCTCCTGGCCAACTCTGGCGTGGATCCCATCCCCTGGGGACAAGCTGAGTGAGTGATCCTGCTGTGCCAGGGAGCTGCTGGGTGGCCAGTTGGGCATGGAGAAGGCATGGCTCACTCCGGACAGCAGTTGTGTGTCCAAAGCCTGCTGTAATCAAAGCTCCTTTCTCCCCCCATGCAGTGAGCACCAGCATGCTTCCACCTCTGCTTCCCACCTGTAGGGTTTTTCATCTTAAATACCTCTGCGTGCTGCTGTGTTTTAACATCCCTTGCTCTGGGCACTGGATTCTGCATGTGCAGGGCAGCTGTGCTCAACCTTCTGGCTGGAGCTGTTCTCTGTGCGAGGCAAAGCAGCTTTCACATGTGGACTGCCTGCAAAATGGGAATTTGACGTGGCAGAGATGGTGGGTGGCGTTGGAGGGGGCTGGTGATCCGATCCCTTCCTTGCATGTCATCCCCTTTGTGATGTGTACCTCTTATTAAATCAGTGCTGGACTCTGTGGCCCCTCCAAAATGTGCTGTGGTGGGCATTGAGCCCCATGCTTGCCCCTGCCTGGCTGCAGGCAGTTGTATGCCCTAATGAGGTGCTCTGGCAAAGAGGGGGTTCCTCTAGGCGGGATTTGCCCCTGGTTCCCTGAGGCATTTCTAAATCTTACTGTCATCTTCACGTGCTTCTGTGCCCGACATCTGGTAAATGTGGGCATGGCATGGGTGTAAAAGGTGCTCATAAGTTCTGGGTGGTCTCATCGGGTGCCTCTGGATGTTGAGGCGAGTGGAGCCCTGGGCAGCCTGTCTCCTACCTGCCTCCCTGGCTGGTGTCTGCCCTCTTGCTGATGGCTTTTCTTCCCTGCAGGGGACACCTCACTCCAGATGAAGTCGTTCAGCTCGTAAATCAGGGACTACAGGATGGAGAAAGGGATTTCCACATCAAAGCCAGGTCTATTCTATGCTGCATGCACCATATGCCAAGTAATGAATTGCAGCTCCCCTGCTGCCCTGCTCCCCTTCCCTGGCGCGTGGCGGGGGGGTGATGTCCCCTGGGTTCAGGTCCCTGCACAAATGTGGGGAAAGCCCTGGTCCCTGGGTCTGATGCAGGACCAGACAGTGCTGAGGAGGAGTTCTTTCTTGCTGGGGGTCCTCTGCTCCCTTCACTGTGGGAAAAAGGTCTGCTGGATGAGAGAGGGGGGGTCTGTGGGTATAACCAGTATGTGAAACATCTTGCTCGTCTGTCCTCTGCCTGGGGAGCTGTGATCTCTGCTCCCTGCCCTGGGCAGCTGTGATCTCTGCTCCCTGCCCAAAGGCCAGAGCACCCCTTGGGCCAGTCAAAGCCATTGGCACA